CTGGAGGTTTTTCGCCTTCCTCTGCAGCATGGGGCAGGGATTGCTAGCAGGAGGGTTCTCTGCCAATTGAAGTCACTAAGCCACAGGATTTGGGGACTTCAACAGCAGAGTCAAGGGAAAGGGTAGGGACGGCTTTGTGGCCTGCGACATGCAGGGGGTCAGACTAGATGATCATAATGGTTCCTTCTGACCTTAAAGTCATGAGTCTATGAGTCTATGGGTCAATACTGCAAAATTAAAACCTGAGAATATTCCAACAAGTTTTAAAATGAATTCATTTCAGCTGTTCATCCTCACTTATGTTCATTTTCCATATACATGTCAGTGTTCAGGTTTTCTCACATAACTGTTCCTCCAAAGTATGTTCCAAGCTGATGTATTCACAACAGAAGGGGGTATATTTTCATATGAGATGGGACATTTCTTGACACATGGGGACAAGGCTGTCGAAACAGCTCGATAGAGACATGGCACAGAGTTACTTAAATGACCAAGTCAAAGATATGACTGCATTCTTTGCAATAAGGGCTGTATATGCATGCACAATTACTTTGTGGAAATATGACAATATCCAACTAAAGCTAAACTCTGCAGCCAGCCAACAAATCTGTTCACCTATTTTTTTCTAAACTTGTGTAAAGCTCATGTGTCCAGAAAGAAAATTCAACATTTTCTTAAATGCCTTAGCTAGCTTTCCATAAAGCATTCCCTCTCTCTGAAAGATTGAAAGCCCCAGTAACTTATTAATGCCCTCCTCTATTATTTTAGTTACAGTGACAGTTGACAACTAATCAACATAACTTGAATATTTAATAAACACAGAGCTATACATAATCCAAAAAGTTTACAAAAAGCAACAAAACCTCGCTAAGATAGATGCAAAAATTCAGTTACTGAATAAATCTGAATACTTCAGGTTAAGCATGTGCATGTCTATAGGAGTGAGGCCTTGATGATATTTTTCAATACCTTACAGTACTTCTGATTGATAGAAAAAAAATGTTTGTTTCATAACTTTGCTAGTTGTTGGTATCTTTAGAAATAAAAATTAGCTTGTATATAGAACAAGAGCATGTTATAGGCTTTTTTTAAAGTAATTATTACAAACCTATTTTTAGATACATTTTCTGAATGTTATTACAGATTAGTTTATTTCCAATAATTCCCTTTAAGAGTTTCAAGTAGACTCTACTTCCTTTTATGTCCTTTTTTGAGCTCCCCTGAGTAATTTTATTTTCCAGAAAATAAAACATATTTATTTGGCATGCAATTTGAGGTATACAGTAATTTTTAATTAGCTTTCTAAACTAAAATGTCATTATTTTAGTAAATCTCTTGGTAACATTTTAGAGCAAGTATTGTATATTTATAGTCAGATTGTATTTGATCTTAATATGTAGCTATGCCAAGCCTTTTTTCCATGTTACACTCCACTTTACTTCTAAAGCAACCAACATTTTATGCCAACTAGTGGTGTTGTAGCTGTGTTGGCCCCAGGATCTGAGAGAAGCAAGGCAGGTGAGGTGATATCTTATATTGGGCCAACTTCTATCGATGAAAGAGACAAGTTTTTAAGCTCCACAGAGCTCTGGGTCAGGTCAGGCCCAGAATGGAAGAAGAGTTCTGTGGGTCTGTTACTGGATTACTTCACCCACCTTATCTCTCTCAATGGAAACTAGTTCATCTTGTGAAAAGGGAATGCCCTAGAGTACACTTTTTCTACTCAGACAGCTTCTGATGAGCTCACGTTGATAAGAATAGACAGATGTGTAATAATTATGCAACTTGTCATATTATCCTTTTTGACTCATCACATTAACAATGAAACCTGATATAGAAAGAATTATGTGATTTTTAATAAGTCTAAGCATTTCAACTTTCCCAAGAACTTTTCTTCTATCATACCTCCAAATGGACTAATTCCCCTTTGCTTCTGTTTGAAAAGGTAAACATAAATACATTATTGATCGTTTGTTTCTTCCGTTTGTGACTGTTTAGCAGCTTTCTTATTGAACAGTCTAACAAAGTATAAACACTCATAGAGTGAGAGAAGTTCCAGTTTATACAGCAAATGGAACAAAATTGGAAAGACCGAATGTTGTACTCTGAGTCTGATCACTTTAAAATGACAGAATTAGGAATGTTCAAACCTGATGAAGCTCAAGAATACAATTAAGATGTTAACATGTCGGGGAGTCTGCCACTTCAGGAAAAAAAGGTAGAGTGAGAGACACAAAGATATCCTGGGATTGGGCAAGATCCTGATACTGAGGTTCAATTACTTGGGAAGCTAAGAACCTGGTTATTAGTCAATGGATTCCTTTTAAAATATCAGAGAAAAGAAATAGCAGTCTAATCCCAACAGCAATCTTTCCTAGGGAGGGGAGAATACTATCCTTCATCCATTTCACATAAATTAATTTGCACAAGGTCACTTCAGATAGAGTTGGGGATAGAATCCAGGTCTCTAACCTAACAGAGCCACACCACTTCCATTTACTACAGTCTTCTATAATCCACAGTAACATAGTGTGGTTTAGATCTGGTCTGTCCTACAGATCTTTGTTGGTATAACTATGTCACTCAGGTGTGAAAAAATCCAACCCCCTGAGTTGAAACAGTTATACTGACCTAATGCCCTGCTTAGACAGAGCTATGTCAGTGGGAGATCCTCTTGGGGAGGTGGGTTAACTACACACATGGGAGAGCTCTTTCCCATCTGTGTAGAGTATCTTCATTAAAGCGCTACAGCAGAACAGCTGTGTCAGTGCAGCTGTGCTGCTGTAGCGTTTTAAGTGTAGACTCGCCCTTGCCTTTTTAGCAGCTATACCACAGAGAGAGGTTTATGATTCTCCTACTTCTTGCATGCTAAGCTAGCTGGTTAATTTTTATCTCCTGGAGTAGAGGCTTATGCTTTTACATCCAGAGGTTCTGAGCTCAGTCCCCACAGATGACTCAAACATAAGGTAATAGTAAAGGCTATATGTGTCCTCATATATTAAACCTAAAGGTATTTTATGTCATGAGGGAATACTGTCCATCCATAATTACTGTACTAGAGGATTACCTACCATCTCTGGATGCATATGTTTGGATTAGACAAGGGCTGCTGTCATTCTATTATCCATAAACTGAAAACCAGAGATGGGTACTTAATTATTTTTCTTGAATACTTTTTAGATTGACATTTATAATTTCTGTACACAAATTCTACATACTTATCGTAAACATCTGGAATGGTCCTTGAAATTTGTGAACTATCATACTTTTTTCAAAATTGTGAAAGAAATGAAGATGATAATTCTCTTTTCTCAAGAAAGCTTTTAGTGACATTTAATAAGCAAATGTGTTTTGCACTAGGGAATGAACACTGCCTACAATGACTGAGGTGAATTTGTATTGACTTTGTGTGATCTCTCTTTTTCCACCTATTGGTCTCTATTGCCCTTTTTGATGTATCTGTCTCTTTCCATTTATCCAGTAGAGCATGTAAAAATGTGCACCTTATATTGTGTCTGAATGTGTATAGTTTCTACTTCTAGCCATTAAATCTTGTTCTGCATTTGTCTGCTAGACTGAAGAGCCCTCTTTTACCACAATTATCTATGCCAGGTGGCTACTTACAGACTGTGGTCAAATCAGCATTTAACCTTCTCTTTTATAAGCTAAATTGTTTGATCTCCTTGGCTCTTTCACTATATAAGGCATGTTTTCCAAACTTTAATTATTCTCCTGGCTCTTCTCTGAATACTTGCCCAGTTTTAAACATCCTTCTTCAATTGTGTACACCATAACTGGACATGGTATTCTAGTAACAGTCACACCAGTGCCAGATATTCCAACTTGATATTCCCCTATTTATACATTCAGAAATTGCATTGGTAATTGTCCATCAGGACCCTCACGTCTTTTTCAACTCGCTGCTTCCCAGGATAGAGGTATCCATCCTGTAATATAGCTTTTGTTCCTAGATGACTGACTTCACATTTGGTTCTATTGAAATATATATGGTTTGCTTGTGTCAGCTTTCTAAGTGTTTCAGATCAATCAGATTAGTGACCTGTCTCCTTCATTATTTACCACACCTACAATCATTTTGTCATCTGCAAACTTTGTCAGTACAGATTATATGTTTTCTTCCTTGTCATTGGTAAAAGTGGTAAATAGCATATGGCCAAGAATCGATCCCCTCAGGAACCCTATAGAAATATACTCATGATTACATTTTTTTAGACCAATCAGCCATTTTAATCCATTTAATGTGTGCCAGTTTATTCTGTTACTTTCATAATGTTGATTTTTTTTTAACCCCATGTTAGTTTGAATAACATTTTTGAATTCTGTGGACAAAATAGAGGGATTTGAAATTTTGTAATAAAAGCAGATTAGGACTTTTCTGGTGAGTATGGATTGTTTGTTAATATGTACAGCCGTGAAAAACAGAGGAGTGCTTTGACGGGTATGAATAATAGCTGGGTGGAGAAAGATTATTCAGTTTCTTTGAGGATTTTGATATTTTTAAATTTGGTTTTATTCTGATTTGGAACATAAACCAAGAAATTCAAAATTCTGAGAGAAAGAGAATGGAGCCCAGGCTCCAAGTCAATCTGTCTTGCAGGGCTGCCCAGAGCTGTGAACCTTGGGAGCCATGGGGTCCCCCACTCTGAGACAGTCTAGTACGTGAGCTGGCCGGAATCGATGTAGGTATCTGATGGAAACCTGCATGGTAGGTAGGTTTGAAACCCTCCCTTATTATCCCAAAGCCCTAATCTCAACCCCCTAAGTACCCTTTTCTCTGCCTACCCCATGTTCCCACTCACATAGCCCCCAATCCTCCCCCAGAATCCACACTCACTCCACACCCTCTCTGGCTCTCCACGGTGGGAGTGGAGCCTTGGGGAAAGGGGTGGAGGGGGGTAGGGCTGGGACAGAGCAGG